ATAATTAAGTGAATTCTACGACGCAATACTTAAACTAATGATTGTGACCGAACGCGAAATGGCGGTGACCTTCAGCCGACTTCAATGCCTGGCTGATGCCGCACCACCGAGAGATTATTGAGACATTTTATTTGTACCTGGAGTTTTTCTCTTTAGGACGCTAGTGAACTCCCTCGAAGAGCAGCAACTCCTTCACGTCTGTACTGGTACAAATTCCTCCTCGGTGGAAAACTCTGCTTGGCAGCGAGACCACGGTCACCGTCACTCGTTTCTCCGAATATTTTATGAATCTGAAACCGCAATCAAGCATTAGAAATTGTTAAAATTTAAGATCAATTTACGCAAGCCGACTGAAGGCCTGGCAAGCAATAAATTAATAGATTTGATCGCTTCGTTCCACTGTACAAAAGGCGACAAAGAAATAATTACCTGCTTAATGATGTTTTTACTAAATTTGCGTGTCCACGCGGTTTGGCGACTCGGTCACAATGACTCTTCTCAGCTTTGTCGGTGCGTTTCTTTCTTCGCTCCGTCTTCCCCACTCACTCTCCGCGCCGGCGCTTCCCTCTTGGGGACTTACTCACTAACTTACAGCTAGAGGCGCGAGTACTTCGGAGCACACCGCTCTGGGGAATCAGTCGATAACTAACTCACGGATCGGAAACCTTCTCTGGGTAAAGAAGGCCCCGTGTACTCCGTTACAAAAACAAAAAAGACCCTGATAGCCACCTTACCTATAACTTACTGTCAATCTACGTCCGGAATTTGAAGCAAACTTGACGGAAAGACTTGGCAAAGCGAGCGATTACCTATTAGTTACCTATAACTTACTCTGCAAATAGACGTCAAAACTTGCTGTACAAGTATTTCCGTCAAATTGTAGTAAAGTTGAAAGGGAATTTAACTACAAGTTTGATTGTTAACTTGTATTCAAGTTGCGGCTGTAGATTTCCGTCAATTTGCTTACAACTGTTGTTGAGTGAAGAATTACCGCCAACTTGATGGATAAATTAACCGTAACTGTTGGAAGTCAACACTTACTGAGAAAGCGCTGGCTATCAGGGGAATTTTTCTCATGTTAATTAAATGGGAAACTAAAATAACAATAGTGACCCCTTAGAGTTGAGCTATAGGGCTCATCTTTGGTGAGGATTTTTTTTATATCAAATAGAAACATTTGAGAGAGCAAGAGTTAAAAAACAAAATTAAAAAGTTTTTTTGAATCACCCTAATATATATATATTATCTACATGTATATATGAAAAATATATCGAAAATGCATGTGGGTACTCAAATGAAAGCTCTTGATGAGTATAACATCGAGATGAGCTTATATCTTTAAAAACGTCAATATTTAAGACAGTACAATGCAATTTAATAAAAGTCATTTTTAATAAAGTAAAATTTTAATTTTTTATAGTTTACAAGTTACGGCAGTCACATAGTGACTGCAAGGTTGCTAGTTTAAAATAATTTGAACAATTTAATAATTGATGATTTTCACTTATTTAATAAAATAAAGAAATAAAAAGGCTTTCATATTTATTAATTGCCGGATTTAATAAACAAATTTGAAAATACTCAAATTCAAACGCTGAGAAATAACTTCAAACTTTTTCAGTGAACTATATTTTTATTCAAAGAAAAAAATTAATTGGTTTTAAAATTTTTACATTAATAATTAAAAATTAATTAAGAAACTCTTATTTCTTTGTATTTACTGTTAAATTGAATACTTACTGTTAGACAAATTTCCGTTTAAAAATCCTTAAAATATTTTTGTGTAAATTTAGAAGTAATGGATTTTTAATTACTTCATCTTATTCTTATGCTGTATATAATTGAAAAATTATATTTCTATTGTTAGATAAATTTCAAAACACTTTACTTGTAATTATTGTAAGCCGATGTTACAGAAATTCAACAGAATTTCTTTGTTAAGTAAACTTGTCGCACTCAAATAACAGTTTCATTTATGAAAAAACTCACGCGTAATTTTAAAATGGGCAAACGGCTCTTTTTCAACCGCAACAGCGTGCGTCAAGATACTACTTTTCCCGCATGAGTAATACAATAGTATATTGTGCAACAAGTGCGACAAGTTGTCGATTGCCCACGAAAACGAAGTTGGACACTTGTTGAGACTTGACAACTTGAGACAAGTTGACACAAGTTTGTCACTCGCTTGAGTGGGCATATAGTTTAACAATAATTGTATCTATAATTTATAATGATAATAATAGTAATAATAATAAGAATTTATACTAGAAAATTGATTTGTGAATAAAAAAAAAAAATGATTATAAATAATAATTATCTGATTGTTTTAATCGTGTGCAGTAGTGTTTCACACTTCAATTAATGTTTAATGAACTTTGTGTTTAATAAGAATTTATAATTTATAATACTATGTTGGTTTTTTTCTGAAATAACAAATTTAATAATTTTTTTTGAGAAATTAAAATAATAAATTAATTATTTAATATTATGATTAGTACTTTATTAAGCTCATTATAGTTTAACAATAATTGTATCTATAATTTATAATGATAATTATAATAATTATAATAATTAAATGATTTATTTTTTGTGTAATTATTAATATGCTTAATATATTTATAAAAAATAAATTTTCTCATTTTCAAACTATTATAATTTTCTGTAATAAAAAAAAAAATAATATTTATTTAAAAAATAGATTCAACTTAAAAAAATTGATAATTACATTTACTAATTTTTTCTAATTAAACATTAGTTAATTTCTTTTATTTAAGTACCGAAAAATTTTTATTGAAATTAATCTTCGAATATTTACGAGAAAACATGAAATCAATTACAAGGTAACAATTTCAATGCCAATTTCAATGCTGGATTATATCGTATCAATGCTTTGAAAAATTCAATATTAAACTATATACATATCCAATGTTATCTATCAATAAATTTGGTTCTTTGTCATACATCAAACAAAAGATTTAAGAATTCCTGGAAATTGAAAATTCAACAATTTTTCCCTCCCTACCATCATTGTTGTTTCAAATCTTCGCCTTCTTATTGTCAACTTCTTCATACGGGTTCAACGTCTAATGACGAGCAGTCATAATTATATAAATTTCACCATTTCACAATTGATATCCAATAATTACAAATTTTATATCTTCCAAATTTTTACAATAATTGAAATTAAAATTAATATTAACGATAGTTAAAAAATGTTATATTGAAAATATTTCAACGTTATAATAACAAACAAAATAATATAAGTTGCGGCAACATTTATGATAAAGAACAACGTTGAATAATTTAATAACTAAATTTTATTATAATATAATCCGGAATAAAATGGCATTCACTGAGATTACAAATAAATGTATTGGAATGACCGCCGATCCATTGTATAATTATTTTCCGAAACAAATGGAGGCTTATTTAGTCAATCTGAATACTTACTTAATAACATCAAGAAAATTCATTAAATTTTCTAACTTCATCATGTCCTTGACTTTATACAACCAAGGAATGATGACAAGAGAAGAACTTGTCATTGATGTCGAAAATATATTTCACGAAGAAATGGATATACGATATAATTTTATATATTCGGTACTTCGATAATCCGCCAATAAGTTTTTACTCATTATACTAGAAAATTGATTTGTGAATAAAAAAAAAATGATTATAAATAATAATTATCTGATTGTTTGAATTGTGTGCAATAGTGTCATACTTCAATTAATGTTTAATGAACTTTTGTGTCTAATAAGAATTTATACTAGAAAATTGATTTGTGAATAAAAAAAAAATGATTATAAATAATAATTATCTGATTGTTTTAATTGTGTGCAGTAGTGTTTCACACTTCAATTAATGTTTAATGAACTTTGTGTTTAATAAGAATTTATAATTTATAATACTATGTTGGTTTTTTTCTTAAATAATATCTTCGACACCGCTGCAGCTGCCGAGATATAATAATTCTGGTCCCGATGATTTTTTTAAATCAGTGCCACAATATTTTTACTGCAAATTCTAACTTGCAGGCAACTATATATATTGTTCTTTTCTTAATAAGATAAAAAGCCTAGTTATTGACACTTGCAATTTTATTTTAATTAAAAAAAAAAAAATCAACTAATAAATAAATAAATATAATTTTTTGATTATAAATTTTACGATGATTGATTTTTTGAGAAAAATTTTTTTTTTAATTAGAATAAAATTGCAAGTGTTAAATAACGAGGCCAGTGACAATAACTGGGTCTTTTACTTTATATACAGATTTTTGGTATACTGAGAGAAAAATTTTTTTTGAAAAAATGGGTATTGTTGTGACAAGAAATTAATTTGTTGAAAAACTTAAAGAATTTTATTTTTCAGCTGAAAAAATAAAAATTTTTTTCACAGTAACTTTCTTGTTGAAAAAAATTTTTTTTTTGATTTTGAAAAAACTAATTTTAGATAGAAAACTTGCGAATTTTTATTCAAATTTTTTTTTTTCCAAATCTAGAAAACTTTTTCTTAACAAGAAATTTACTGTAAGAAAAAATTTATATTTCTTCAGCTAAAAAATAAAATTATTAAAAATTTTCAACAAATTCATTTCTTTTCACCCCAATGTCTGTTTTTTCCAAAAGAAATTATTTTCTTCAGTTCAAAACTTTTTTTATCTCTCAATTTTTTTTACAAAAATGTTTTGTTTGAGGGCCAGATTTCTAATTCCAAATGAAATTCCATCCAATGCTAAATTGTATATATTGGCAATAAAAATTTTATCCTGGATTAAATTTGGTCTCTGATTAAAAAATTGACCCTGTTAAATATCACTTGCAAGCTTACAGGTTTATTTTTAATATCACTTGATCATTATGACTAGTGTATAACGTGAAGTTTGGCAAAAACAACAGTCAATTATTTTAGTATTTTATTTATTAAATCAATCAATCAATAAGTACATATAATTAAATAATTACAATTAAGTTTATTCAAAATTATCGTTGGTGATGTCGTTGGAAATCGGAAATATGTCGGACAAAGAACTTGAAGAAGCAGTTACAGTGAGTAATAATAATAATTAATTAAAAGTAATTGATAATACTAAAAATATTAACTAATATTGATAGAATCACTTGAAAAATCTCGAGGACATGGAAGTGACGGGGAAATATACAGAAAAAAAGTTATTAAAAACGACAAATTGTGATTTTAAAAAAAATTGCGAATTGGACACCCGTAAATGCGGTGATTGGAATGAAAGCTCGCGATCATTTGATAAAAATTCCCTATTAAATAGTAATTATAATAATAATAAAATAAATAACGCCGAATGGAAGTGTAAAAATCTGTACAGTATTCCAAATCTTGAGCCGTGCAACAATTTACATTCTTATGGGGAAACTCCGCCATCCGCTCCGTGTAAAATAAAACTCTCCGGCGATAGTGATACATTTGTATCCGACAAAGAAGACTATAATTTATTTGAAAAGTTAAAACATTATCTAATTGATTATCAAGAAAATGTACTGGGGATATCTTCTTCAGAAGAATATAATTTTTCTGCTCTTATGAAGATGATGGGACAAGCCATGGCTAAATCTTTACTTGCACTTTTTTATTTTATCATTAATGTCATTCCAATGGCACTGGTTTGTTTATTCATTTATATAATCTAAGGTAAAAGCTGCTATTATTGACAGGATACTCAACTATTGACACCCTATTTAATTTTATTATTAAAATCTGTTAATAATCACAATTTTTGATATATCATGACAATTTTGCATATTTTTTAAATTAAAAAATAATAAAATTTAATTTCAAGGCATAAACTATTTACCGCAAAAAATAGTAGATTACATACCTAGGCCAGTAAAATAAGAAAAGTCTTAGACCACATGTAATTGTTGGCCGAGGCGAAGCCGAGGTTGACAAACATGTGGTCTGAGGCTTTACTTTTTACTGGCCAAGGTGTGTATACTATTTTTCTGCTCGACGTAGCCGGAATGTGGCAACTTTATTTAGCGAAGCGGCCAGAAAGTTGCCACTTTCCGGCCGGAGGGCAGAAAATTTCATTTTTTCAAGTAGGCCAAAACTGCTTATACGTTTGTAATTTCTAAACAATACAGTTAAGAAAGACCTTACTTTCAAATCCAGGTTTCTCAATGTTTTTTTTTTATGTAATTGCATTGATTAAAATTATTTTAGATTAATTATAGGGGAGAAGGGGGTCAATTGAACCAAAAAAAGTTTAGCAATTTTTTACTATTCGAATTAAAACTAAATGACAATTTTTTTTTCTTGGAATGGGAGTTTATTAAGTCTATTAACATTATCAATACATAAATTAGCCAATGAACAACGTGAATTTTTTAAAATTATTAATTTATCCAAACGCGTCGAATGGTTCAATTGACCCCCGCTCGGGGGCAATTGAACCACTGTTTGGGGTCGATTGAACCAATGATATTTAAAACTCAAACCCGAACTTTTAATATATAATATAATAATTGTTACTTGCTAATACTACTATTGCACATTTTTAATGCACATATATTATATTAAATAAATTAAAAATCAATTTAAAAATGATTTTCATTATAAATTCAATTCATCAAAATGTTAGGTTATTTTCCTGTGTATTTTTCACATAGTCAAGGTGCGCGCGCATGTCCCATGCTTCTCCGTATGGTTCAATCGCCCCCGGGACTACTGGTTCAATTGACCCCATATAATTTTATAACATTTAATAGTAAATAATAAATAAATAAACTATTATATCACTATAAACAAAGTTGAGGATTTTAAAGTATAAGTATAAGTATATACGACTACTACAATTCAAACTTTATCAATTAATTCAAAAATTAAAATATTATTAAACAATTTGTCACCAGCCGAAAAAAAAGTTTACATGCCTAAAAATGAAAAAATCTCAATTTTTCAAAATTTATTAATCGCAATGATTTCAAATTTTGATCATATCCGAGTTCAACATATTAGAATCTAATTCTAAGAGCATAAAGCATTTTTTCAATTTTTTAAGTCGAGTGGTTCAATTGCCCCGTGGTTCAATTTCTCCCATTTCTCCCTTAGTCTAAATAACTATATAATCATTTATTTATACTTTATCAAGTTAAAATTAATTTTAAAATAGCGGATGTCAATGATGGGGACACAAAAATTAACTTGCGTCAACTAACGACATAGGCCATAATGTAAGGTAACCTAACCCCCTCAACATACATATCAACGTATTAATGTTTACAAACTGTCATGTAATTTTATAAGAATCAAAGTATTTGAGACTAGAAAAAATTGCAAAAAAAAACCTGGTAAAAAATATAGAAAAGCTAGGTCTTAAACGAATTTTAAAATAATAAAAATTATTGATAGTTTTGCATTAGTTAGTAAAAATGATTATTGTTACTATAAATTTAACTGTAATAAAAGACCTGTCAATAATGGGGTCAATGGTATGTCAATAATCGGCTCTTTGAATTTTTTGCGCTGTCAATAATACATATATTCGACTTATTGGTTTTAAGTTGATATAATAATTATTAAATTTATTGCTATTAAAGTTAATTAATTAGATTATATAAGTAAAAACAATGATTAAGATGTCCTATAAAAAAAAAGTTGACAATATTGATTTGAAACACAATAAAAAAATTCAAATATTCATGATCACTCTTATAGTGTCAATAATGAGGGCTTTTACCTTATACTCGCAATGATATAAGATATTTAAATTATTATCAAACCATTTTATTACAGATAACCTTATTCATCTTGCATTTTATCCTGGACAAGACACTAGATATTAAAAAAACTAAAAATCGTCAAGAGATGGCAATCAAAATAATGCTCTTGGGATTACAGCTTACATTTGTGTATCTCAGCTTCACCTTTATAGTAGGACTCATTTGGATCCCAGTATTTCAAATCATCTTACGAATTGTTTCTTGCTGTACAATTGATCCATACAACAATTAAAATTTATAAATTATCCCATCAAATTTTACTTTCAGAATGTAGATGTAAATTTATCTTCAGTTTAGATTTTTAGCAGCAAGAATGCAGATTGTTAGTACGAGCAACTGAGATACTTGATAAGTGCTTGCTACTGACCAGCCACACTCAATGTCTGTCTTAAGGGCTTGTATTACTGACATGTTATTTTTGTTAGCACAGAAACTCTCCCGCAAATCATCATCCCAACCGTTGTCCCAGCAGCTATATTCGTTTTCTTCGTCGCGCTCGAAATCGTACTGATGAAGAGGGAATGTATTGCATCTATCTTCTTGGTATTGTCTATGTTTTCTTTGCCAGCCTTCAATCCATCTATTATCATTTGGAAATTATTATTATATTTTTTTAATCTACTTTACAAAATTTTCTTGCAGCATTATTTAAAAAAAAAAAGTTTTCTGAGAATATTGTAAAATTTTATAGAAATTTTATTTCGTTATATTAATTCTACACTGAGAAAGAAAATTTATTTTGAAAAAAATGGGCATTAGGGTGGCAAAAAATGGATTTGTTGAAAATTTTGAATAACTTTATTTTTTAGCTGAAGAATTAATAATCTTCTCACAGTAACTTTCTTGTTGCAAAATAATGATTTTTTGACTTGGAAAAATAAAATTTGTGAATTTTCATCTAAAATTGTTTTTTGCTAAATCTAGAAATTTTTTTTTCAACAAGAAAGTTACTTTGAGATAAATTTTTATTTCTTTAGTTAAGAAATAAAATTTTTAATTAATTAATTTCGTATTACAATGTTTTTAATTTTTTTTAAAAGAAATATTTCCTCTCAATGTAAAGAATAAAATAAGAAAATAATTGCTAAGATTTTCGGCTCCATTTTTTATAAGGATTAAATATGAAAATTTTGTCAATTGTTTTTTTGTGTGCATAAAATTTGACCAAAATACGTCGTTAAAAAAGAACTGCAATTAGAAAATTACTGTCATTTAATGTAGAAAAAAATTGCTTGAAAATAATTATAATGTACAGGGAGAGACAAAATTTCTTTTGAAAAAAATGGGTTTTGTTATGAGAAGAAACTAATTTGTTGAAAATTTTAAACAATTTTACTTCTTCGATGAAGAAATAAAAATTTTTCTCATTGTAAGTTTCTTGTTGAAAAAAAGTTTTCTAGATTTGGGAAAAAAGAATTTTGAATGAAAATTCAAAAGTTGTTCCTAATTTTTTTTTTTTTTTTTTTTTTTTCAAATTAAAAAAACTTTTTTTTCAACAAGAAAATTACTGAGAAAAATTTGCATTTCTTCAGCTAGGAAGTAAAAGATCCGTCAGGAATTAACTATATATTAACATACCCGATTTCGCAATCACAAATAACAGCGCTTCCTTGCATTCGTAATCGCATTAAAAATTTCTTGTCCGTTGCACCAGGTTTGTAACCATTTGATGGATTTTCTAGTGTCTTAAGATCGTTGTTGTGCAAGTCGACAGTGATATTTCGAACTGTCCGTGCATTTTCAAACAGCTTTCTCGGTACTTTACTAACAGATGTGTTGTAAAGACCAAAATGAAGATGTGGACTTCGCATTCCCTAGTTTAGAACTTGGTAATTAATAAAAACTACTAACAATTAATATAAAAAAAAAATTTTGTAAAATCCAAGAGTGCACGCCTCATAATCTTATGATTTTTTTGACATGTCGAGAGTAGAGTACTACCCCAACGCTTCGCTTATGAGGCGTGCAATTAATTACTATATGAAGATAACATACTTGTAGAATGTCAGTGTCAATATCTTTCAAACTTCTTCCAGTGAAGGTAAAATTAGATAATTTAACCGAGAATTTTCCTTTCATTTCTTTTTCAAGAGTTGTCTCATTTTGGACATCAACAAGTAAGTTTTTTAATCCATGATTGTACTCAATCAAGTTAGGAATATTGAAGTTTTTAATTGTAGTGTAAGCTGTAATGTGCAGAGTTTGAAGTTTTGATGCTTTGCAGAATGCTCCAGCCTGTAGAAAAATATTTTCTATTGAAAATTCAAGAAAATTTAGTACTTAAATGTTATTAATTAGAAATTTTTTTTTACCTCGAAAGTTAATAGAGGAAGTCGACGAATATCCAGTTCAATTAAGCTATCAGCAGGTCCTAAGAAACTTGTATTGGAAACAGATGTGATGGGATTGTAAGCAAGATTGAACGACTTTAATTCAAAAAGTGTATGAGTAATAAGTGGGACGACTGTTAAATCATTGTGGCTGAGATCAAGATGATGAAGAGATGACAAATTAGATGCTAATTCTGCTGGAATTGACGCAAGCTCGTTGTTGGACATATAAAGAGTACGTAAATGCCGAAAGGGAAGTTCTGGAATTGTCAGAAGTGAAATATTACTGAGACCCAGAGTTAATAGCGAGTCATCAAGACCAAAAAATGTCCGTCCGTGATTTTCAAGTATCAGTTGTTTATTATTACTGAGATCCAAGTACGTTAAGTGATGAAGTTCAGTAAAGACACCATCATCTAGTCGCACTAATCTATTGTACGATAAGTCTAAAAATGTTAAGCTCTGAAAATAAAATATTATTTATTAATGTCGGATAATTAATTCGGATTAATACACTGAGAGAAAAAATTTATTTTGGAAAAAATTAATGATGTAATAAAAAATTAATTCGGTAAAAATTTTAAACAAATTTATTTCTTCATTAAAAAAATAAAAATTTTAATCACAGTAGGGTAAATGCACCAGTTGTTGACCGGTCACCAATTAGTTGACCGATGTATAAAAAAGTTAATTAATTAATATTTTACAAGGATTTTTTTTTTTTTCTTAAAGTATTAAAATAAAAATATATGGCATTTAATCATCATAATAAAAAATTACGCAATTAATTGCGCAGCAATTATAGCTTTAAAAAAATATTCTGAGTTTGTTTACAACGCAACCAGCCATAAAGCGGTCAAAAATAACTGGCGTACAATTGGAGAGTGAGTGCATTTCATCATTAATTTAGTGATATTTATCGGCATAATATAAAATATTTTAATTTTATTATGTTAATTAAAGATCAGATTCCAACTTTTTTGAAAAAATAAAGTTAAATTATAAGTTTTAATATTATTTTAAGACCGGTCAACTATTGGATCCGTCAGAAGCCCTTTACCCAGTAAAAAATTCATTCGGTCATTTATTAGACCCTCTGATTTTATCACAATCCAATTAATGACCGTATATTTATAATACTAACTTCTTAACCTCAAGATTAAATCTGTCAAGTGTTTAAAGTACTTTAGTCATTCAATATTTTTTTTAAATATAAAAATAATCATTATAAAATGTATGTATATTTATAATTAAAATAATACTTAAAATCTTTTTTGATTATTAAATTTTATTTTGTTCTAATTTTTTTAGTGAACGGTTATATCAAAAAACGAATTATTAGAAGAAAAAATTGCTAAGCAATTAAAAAAATAAAAAAGAGTTACAAGCTAGTAAAAAAGCTTTAATTGAAAAAAAGAAGAAGAATAAAAAAATTTCAAGTTAATCAGAAGAACTATCGTCATCAAAATGAATTTGTGATTATTAGTGACCTAAATATTTATTGGGTTTCTTCGGTCAATAATTGGTGATTTTAGTATTTCAAGATTCAAATAACAAAATTAATATAATTTTGTTAATTTTTATTATAAATAGTTATCAATTATTATTAATTAAGTATTTAACTTTAATAAAATCCATTACAAATTGTTTTTAGTAGGTTAATAGATTTTTTATAGCTTAGTACAGAAATAGAAAACCTTAATCGGTCAATAATTAGTGCATTTACCTTAATTTTTTTGTTGAAAAAACAATTTTTAGATTTGGGAAAAAACAATTTTGGATGAAAATTCACAAGTTGTTTATCTAAAATTGTTCTTTTCAAAATCAAAAAAATTTTTTTTCAACAACAATTATTAAAATGTCAGTGAATAGATCACCTATTTTCGAAACTATTATAGATTAAAATGAAGAGTTATTTATGAGTCTAGTAATCATAATAATATTGGTTAATATTTGGAACATAGGTAGACAATATTTAGTGCGTAATGGTCAGTATTCGGAACAATCGTCTGTAACGTTAATTATTACAATTTAATGTTCATCATTATGTATTTTATAAACAAAAGTATTATAGCTTGTAAGTTAAAACTATAAAAAAAGCATAACACTCGTTTTAGCTGATGAACTCTTCCAATAATTTACAAATAATGTACTTATGTTGATTTTATCTAAGCTGTTCAATATTTGGAGCCTTTACCCTAAATATTAATTATTTTTTTCAAAAGAAATTTTTTTTCTCAGTATACTCTATTGATTAAAAACTTACACGAAATTTATTTATAGAATCAGCGACGTTGATGCTTGACAAAAAATTCCAGGACAAATCAAGAATTGAAATAGAAGCTGCTGCCGTACCAGTAATTGCTTTTGTTGGTAAGCGCATAAATTGGTTATTTGAGAGGTCAAGACTTTCGATAGTAGCATCGGTGAACAAATTATCTGGCAAAGTTCGTAGTCTGTTGTATGACAAATCTAAAATGCGTAACTTCTTTAGGCTTCTTAGAGTTTCCACGGGGATTTCCGCGATATTGTTGTGAGACAGCAGCAGCACTTGTATATTCTTAGTATTACGGAAGCAGTCAAAATCAATGTCACTGAGTTCATTGTGACGTAAATCAAGCCATTGAAGGTGCGGCAGATTACCGAATACTGCTTGCGACATGTTGACTATTTTGTTATGAGATAAATACAGATGAGTCAAAGCGTATTCCACTGGTCGAAAGTAATACTTCATTATATCCGTAATATTGTTGTGGCTTAAGTCCAGCACACGAATGTTTGATTGCAATGTTCCTCCCATGTTAAAGTACACTTGAATAATTAATTACATACTCTTTATTAGGATAAAACCAAAAAGTTTGGAAAATCCAAAAGTTCACGCCTCAATATTTTATTTTTCATAATAAAATTGATTAAAATAAAATACAAATACTTTCAAATCTTTCGCGCCATTGTCCAACCAGAAAAGAAAGAAAAGAAAGAAACAACGGATACTGCGCATCTGTTGTAAATAAACCTTATTTATATACATATAGATATACAAACGATAAGTGGATTTTAGTTTATTGTTAATTATAATTAAACTACATTGGATTAGACCGTGATCTTCGACAGGACTTAGTTTTAGATAATACTGAAGCGTATAAAAAAAGTGAACTTGATCAGTTAAGTTTTTCGGCAGTTATCGTGACCACGCCAGTTTCTATACATACATCAGACACACGGACGTCCACGGAATAATTTTTTTAAACATTTTTTTTATTTATTTAAAAAGCAAAATGTCTCTTAAAAATGTTATGTGTCGAAACTGGTGTTTTTTCCATGACATTTATGTGTAAATAATATTCTACAAGTGAGATAGAAAATAAATAGAAACAATTTTAGTTCAAAAAATCACTTGATTTTTGTGAGGCGAGAGTAGAGTACTACTTCATCCGCTTCGCTTATGAGGCGTGCAAAACTATCCAATCAAAGGAACTAATTAATAATCGAACTTACTACTTGTTGCTGGTGTAAAACTAGAAGTATTTATTTCTAGTTTACTGATCGAATTGTGACTGGCGTTGACTTTGAAAGAAGCTAGAGTTCCGACTTGGTCAAACCAAGCAAAATCAAATTCATTCATTTTGTTGTAAGCTAAATCCAAAAATTCAAGATCTGGCAAATTTTGGAAGGCTTCATCGACGACACTAATTATTTTGTTTCCTCTTAAATTAATATATTTCAATCGATTCATATTCATGAAGGCACGTCGTTCGATTTTGTCGATGTTATTGTCTTGCAAGTTTAAAAATGTCATCACTGACAAATCGACGAATGTATGAGTTTGGAGATTTGTTATGTGATTGAACGCGAAATCAACTTCTTCTAATGTTGAGTGTATGTCACCCTACAAACAATAAAAAATTTTTTTGAATCTTCTATATAATCAAATCTTGATCTGAAATTATGTCTTTTTAGGGTTTCATGTGCTTTTCAACAGTAATTTATTGTGATAAATTTTCTAAATAGTTATAAATAGGTTCAAATTTCACGAAAAATGTAATTTCTTTATTTATTTATTCTGTTTTGTATATGAGAATGTGGTCATAGTTCAAAAATTAATTTATATAATTAAGAGACTAGGAAAAATTTTGTAACAGGTATATCTTTATCATAAATTAGGTTTGATATTTTTTCAGCAATAGTTAGTTATGATTTAAATAATTGAGATAGTAAGAAAAATTTTGTGACGAGCCTATTATTATTTTTAAAGGAATTTTTTTTGTTAAATTTGGTATTATCAGAAAGGTCTTGATAAGAATTTGTTCCTTTTGGTTTTATATATTTTTTAGTAGTCAATTTTTTATGTCAAGTTTTTGGGGTCAAGTTTTGTTGGTTTTATAATTTTGTTCTGTCACATTTATCCATTGAATTATTTGTAATTAATCCAGTGATTGCACTATTATTTTTAAAATTTATTTAAAAAGTACTTAAACTATGTATAGTGTTTACAAGTATCAAAAAATCATGAAGCCAAAGTTTTCTTATTCATAATCCGTAAATCTCGGTAGTCGCATAGTGGCTACAGTGTTAATAAATATTATTAAAAGTTTACCTGAAAAGTTCCTTTTCGTATTTCAGTTATTTCATTGTCCTGAAGTTCAATTCTCTTGATTCGTTTCAAAAAATGAAAACACGTGTCAGACATTGAACGAATTTTATTGTTACTCAAATCAAGATATTGTAAATTAGTAAGAGATTTAAATGGTTTACTAGGCAGTTCACTCAATGAACTGGATAGAGCATGAGCAAGTTTAAGTGTCAACAAAGAATGTCCCACTTCAGAAAATGCTTCATCGTCCATCGACGAAATAGAGTTTTCCGAAAAGTCTAAATATTTTATTCCCCGAACATGTGTGAATGCATGACTTTTGATGCTGTTTAGATTGCTGCGTGTTATGCGTAACTCTTTCACGTCAATACCGAATTCGATGAAATCGTCAGCTGACAATGAGTCGTGTGATAATTTAGACAAAGCAAGACAACGCAAGTTACGCATTTGCCGCAGGTCTTGAAGAGATATCGCTGCATTTTGTCGGCCACTTAAATCTAGGTTGTATAGTGAGTACTGAAAACCCGTAAATACTTCCACTGAAAATAAAATTAATTTGAATGTTATAAATAAAAAATTTTAATTAATTTTATTAATGAACCTGGTGAAAAAGTTGCTATTTTATTGTCCTTGAAAATAAGTGTCCTCAAAAAATCAAATTCTTGAAAAATATTTTGCTGTAATTCAGTAATATTATTTCCCGATATATCTAAAAGCTCGAGAGATGATTCAAGACCACGCAATGAAGCAGAATCAATTTCTTTGAGTTCACAATCGGTAAAATAAAGTTCCTTTATTTTAGAATCTCTAAACGCGTCATCCTGAAAAAAATAATAATAATTTTAGATAATTGGAAAAAAATGCTTTTAATTTTATACAAATCGCGTGTAAAAAGGTAAACAATTTTTTATCCGTTTGTTTTAAAATCGTTCAGATTGTTCAGAACACAAAGATCTGTAAAAAAAAAAAAAAATCATACATCCTAAAACTAAAAGAGTGTATCTCAAGACTTGCGTCAGGTCATAAAATTTTCAAATTTCTAAGAGTGTCCGGTCATGAAATCCTAGTGAATAATATCCCAGTAAATATATCACATCGAAAAGATATACCATGGCAAAATTCATAGCCATAATTCTCTCAAGAAAATTTTCTCAAGAGTAGTACTTTTTTTTCTCAGTACATGGCTAAATTTGTCATTAAAGACAAATTTGGGAACTGGGGAAATAAAGGATAAAGGGAAAGGGGGGACCTTACTCAGTAGGAATTTTCGGTATCCGAAAATATAATTTGGACAGCCCAGACCGGGACTCGAACCCGGATTATTTGGTTACGCGTCAAAGGCTCTTATTTTGCTTGGGATATTTTTTTGCGGGATGTTTTTGCTTGGGATATATTTGTTGCGAATTTTTGACGTAGAACCATTTCTAAGACTAAAAAAGCGCATAATTGAAAACATGCACTCTTTTAACTTTGGGAAATCACTGTTTGATTTTCATGCGTCGAATATGTCTACCAGCCGATTGACGATAAAAAAAACTTATGCGCCTTTTTACCTTTTTGCAAGCGAGATAATTACCTCAATTTCCATTAGAGGGTTTCCACTCATATAAGTTGTATTAACCCGGAAAAAGTGCTGAAATGATCCAGGTGGCAGAATTTCTATCTGATTATAGTCAAGACGAAGTGTGTCAAGTGAAATTTGAACACCACGAATTTCAGCTTCCATTTGTGGTTGTATCACTCGTGTGATACGGTTATAACTAAGATCCAATATTTTCATGTGTTTTAATGTCGACAATTGGCTGTAAGGTATAGACGTCAATTGATTGCCGTTAAGATAAAGTTGAGTTAAATGAGCCATTCCATCACGGAATACCGAGGAGTCAATTTCTTTAAGACTGTTATCGCGTAGATCAAGAATTTCGAGATATGTTAATCCAGAAAATGCATCTGCAGGTAATTTGTCAATGTGATTTTTTCCGAGACGTAATGTGTGCAAAGTATTTTCAAGACCTCGCCAATTATCTGCTGCTATTGTTGATATTTGGTTACCTGTGAATAAAAATTATTTTGAATAGCTTTTTACATTTTTTTTACCTTAATAATTTTTAAGTTTAGAGACCCATTTAAAACATTTCACAATATTCTATACTGTTTTCTAAAATTAAAAAAAATGTTTCTATTAATTTTGGCCGTACAAAAATTTGCCCACAAAATTTCAATCTATAGGAATTTTATTAAAAAAGTTGTTTTTACAATTATATTGTTTTTTTCTTGAAGTTAATTAAAAATAGAATAGTGACGATATTTACGCTCGTTTTCAAACATTCGCGTCACAAACATTAAAGCGAACTCGAGTTAAAATTTAAATCGCAGATTCAACGTATTGAACGTTCAAATCGTAAGTTTAGCATATTAGACATTAAAATCGTTAGTTAAACGTATTCAACATATTGTGAGCGTAAATCAAACCGATAAGCAGTGAAAAAAAGTAACATCAAAACTATTCAGATAACTATGCTTTTAAACAGAAGTACGATAAAAAATGTTTTTCCAATTCTGTTAGGGAGAATTTCAGTTTTTGGGTTGAAATTTTACCATTCGTTCGATAAAAATACTCAGTCCAAATTTTTCACTTGTGGAATAGTTTCCAAAATGTTTTTTTTTTCGAAGGTATATGGCTGTTTAAAAAGATTAACTACTGTTTAATAAAGAACCAGTGGTACTTGGAGTATCTTTGAATTTATTTTTTTTTTAGAAATGTTGAATCTATATTTTTTACGTTAAACTAAAGTTATACACGTTCAAAACGTTAAATTTACGATTTGAACATTTGTTACGTTCAACTAACGTTTTTAACGTTCAATACGTCGAATTTACGGTTTGAACGTTCAATACGTTGAATCTACGACTTAAATTTCGACTCGGGAATATTGAAAAAAATTCGTTGTCAAAATTGCCACTAAACGGCCAAATGACATACAGTATTTTTTGTCATTGCTCCATAAGTTCAACTTTTGAGGGATACGAGGTAAATAATGAGATATTTAAATTTTATGAAGTTTCACAAGGGCAAAAAAACTTAATTTTATATTAATAAATTATCTTTTTATTAATATTTATTTATGGCGTGCTCTCTTAAATCGAAATAGTGACTAGGGTCCACTATAGTGACTATTCACTATTTTTGCAGTGCAGAGTAGATCACTTATTCAAATAGTGGTATATTTTTCACTACTAAATAGTGAATAGTCACTATTTTATAGTCGAAAGTCACTATTTCGATTTAAGAGAGATGGTTGTTATTTTATTAATTTAACATTAGGCCCGCTTCGTAATAAACTACCAGCAGAGAAAGAATTAGCGCCACTCAATAGTAACTAAGTTTAAAATTTACTCAAAATCATCGCTCGGTACACTAGAATGTGACTTTTCTTTTACAATCTCTCAATTCCGTCTGGGTATACACGATAAGTCCGTAAAAAAAAGGAGGAGGTAAACTTTGCGGCTTAGGCTGTAAAAAAAACGAGTCTCTAGAAAAGAATTCTTTTAAGGATGTGACCCAGCGCTCAAAAGTTGAACTTTTGGAGTGAGTATGACAAAAAAAGTTGTTTCGAGACAAACGTGTTTGAAGTCTTTACTTGTTATTGAGCGCTATATGGAGCGCGCGCACACTTTCATGAATTTCACTGTTAGAATACGAATTTTTAGAAAAAAAATTTTACTAGGTGATTTTTCAAAATATAAAGATTGAAAAAATGCAAAAAAATCGATTTTTTTTTAATTTACACGGACTATCTTAAGATTAAAAAATAATAATTAAAATGTAAATATAAAAATATTCAATACTTGATAACAAAAAAATAAATATATATTTACCAGTCAAATCAAGAATCTTTAATTTTTGTAGATGGCGAAATGATTTACTGGGTACTTGAACCAATTGATTGTATGGTAATTCAAGTTCCCATAGTGATCTTTCAAGCCCTAGAAACGCCTCGTCTGGTATTTCAGCCAGCGGATTATATCGGATTTGTAAATTATAAAGGCCTAGAATATAAAATAGATAAATAAACACTCGATCAATATATATTTGTGTCTTCTCTTGGGTAGGTGGTTATAAAAAATGACACACTTACCTGTATTCATGAGAAATTGAGGCTGAAGCTGTCTCAATCCATTATTGCCTAACTGGAGTATAAAAACTTTTGACGAGTTAATAGGTTCGGGAATCCTCGACATAGGAACATTTTCGCAATTAACAATTCCCAAATCGGGTACTGCTTTTGAACACGTGCACAAAGGATTGAAGAAACACGGTGGATACTGAACTGGTAATTCATGCATTCTCACCATTGACGCCCAAAACATCAGTACCAGTGTTATGATCAACATTATGTACCCCATTTTAAAAAATACAAATAAATTCTGTAATATTTATTTTTAAATCAACAAACTAGGTACGTAAAAACGGAAATAAAATAAAACTAGTTAATTACATTACCATGACAAAGTAAAAAAAGTAGACAGGTTTAACAAACAAGCCCAACTGATCTTAATGTAAGCAAAAACTAACTCAACTTCAGCTTGTAGACGAGGACAAGCAGCTTTTTTGCGAATGCAGCGCGTGACTACCAAGTTAATAATAATGAAGGGGCTTCATGAGTTATCTAGCAGTTTTGGTGCTTCTCTTTACACGATTATAAGCCTTGCAAATACATGTACCAATACATAAACTTGATGCAAACCCACCCCTCACAAAAGCACACTAATATTTCATTAGCATTCAATTGCGAAAATACTATGTAGTAGTTCAGCTTTAATCATTGTGACTGACGTTTTTTTTTATTTCAGATTATTTTTGCTACGACACAATTTTCTTCATTGACTTTCAAGGCTACATTCTACTTAATAAATATTTTATTGTTTTAACTGGTAATTTATTAGCTTTTACAATTAAACAGTCGTAAAAAGATATATAGGAGGCTGTAAAATGGCTCTTGAATTTACATTTAATAGACGGATAGACGAACCGACACGCTAAGATGATAAAATAAACAATGCATTATTCATATTATCAGGACAATTTTATTGTAACAGAATTTGAATTCCAGAAAGGGCACATTTTTATGATTTTTTTTTACTCTTCAAATCTTTTGTGTATATAATTTCTCTGCAACCTTAGACATCTTTTTTGGTAATTGAAGATCCCAACAAAAACATTTGCCCTTTATAAAAAAAAATAAAACTCATTTCAATCACTTACATTCTTTACAAAAAGGTGTAACATATAGAAAAAACACCAACCCGAGTCGAAATTTAAGTCGTACTAGAATTTGAATTTACGCGCGCAAGCGCGCGCCTTGACTATAGAGTTTGCATATATTTTCATGCTTATGATATATTCAACCAATCACGTTACGAATAGTTTGATGCCACATACATTTCATCTCAATTTTATTATGAGATATTCAACGTACACAGTAAAAAATTTTGCGTAATGACGCATCGCGTCAAAAAACTTAGTGTTAAAAATTTTTGTGTTAAATATTTAACACTTTTATGTGTAAATTTAAAATTTATTCTGTTGAATCAACACAAAAAAGTGTTAAATATTTAAGGCACACTTTACATTAGTGGTTTCCGCGATATTTTTGATTAGGCGCTTGATTTTTCAAAAAACCGCAAAAAGCCCTTTTTTGGTTGTTTTTTCAAATTCATGTGAAGATTAATAAAATTTTTTTTTTCAAAAATTAATACCCAATCCTTGTAGAGAATTTATTCAAGTTTTCAAAACCAACCGTGAATTGTCTGTGCAATGATTGGTTGCTGAGATATTGGTAATCAAAGACAAAATGATTTTTTTTCATTCAAACACCGATATCTCAGCGAGAAATGCTCGTATCGAGATTTTTAAAAAACCAAATTAAAGGTGAATAAACAAGTTATCTGGTCAATATAAAGGTTTAGTCGAAAAAAATTTTTTCAAAGTCCGGAGACAAAAAAAAACAAAAAATTTCAAAAATTTTTTTTTCGGTGGTTTTCATAAGATTACTCGAAAAAAAATTTCAAAAAAAAATTTTCAAACTCAGATCCAAAAACTAGACACTGAGAGCTACAATTTGCTCTTTTAACTTCTCGCTAAGAAAATTGAAAATTTTCAAAAATTGGGAAGTTATTGGTTTTACCCCGTTTTTCCTAGGAAAAACCTAAGAACCTAGGAAGCTTCTCTGAATGTTTTCGCGATGATGTCCGTAGGTCTGTATGTATGTATGTGTGTGTGTGTGTGTGTGTTTTGTTTTTTTTTTTTCTTTTTTTTTCATACAACTTTTAAACTCTTGGCACTGTAACCTTCAACGAAAAAGAGTTGTTACAATTTTACTTGAAATCCCTTAAACTAAAATCCCTCTATATTTATTAATAAAAAAAAAATTATTGTTTTTTAAATAATATTATACAAAATAAAATATTTAAATACATCAAGTATTATTATTGTTATACGTATTTTCTGACAAGGTAATTGACTGGTGAAGAATTTACAATACTAGTAGTTAAAACTGCGTAACGAAGTAAAAATCTCCGTCCCTTATTTTCACGCAAAATATAAAATTTCATAACTGCCGTTGCTTTAAGTTAAAAAACAACTTTATTGATGTCTATAAAATAACAAAGAATAAGATTCTGTATATGACATTGAGGGTTTTTTTCTTGGTATATATTTAAAAAAATATTGTACCTTGTATCTTGTATACAGAGCTTAAAGGTGCATAATAGTTTTTTAACTTGGACGAGTTCATTGGTTATAATAAAGTTTTAAATATTAAAAACACATGGTTGTTTTTTTTTACATATATATTTTAGGTATTTATTTGAAACATCATACAGATATTTGCCAAACAATAAAAGTGTGAATGTGTAAATTAATAACATACTGTGCTTCTCTTCAATATATGTAAAAGATTTAGAAAGGTCATGGCACACGCCTAGCTCACATTATTCCCATATGTTGGTTGTTGTTAAATCCTCTCAAAATATTTACTGTGTCACTGAATAAATTTTCCTCAAAATGAGTCGAAAACAGTCCACTACTATACACAGTATCCAAGGTACTTGTATAACTAGGCTCCACCAATAAAACACACGTGTTGTTACCTTACATATATATATATATATATATATA